GTCTGTCGATGGCGGCATTTTGTCATTCAAACGTTGAAACACTTTAACTTTAATGGTCCTCATGACATCGTTCACACGCTCTCCCGTTACATTCACGGAACAAGCCAAGGTGCTTCCACATCGCTGTGTACCCTGTGGGAAGTTGGACAGCACATCAAATGACACACGGCGTGTTCTGGTTGGAGATTTCTTAAATCGGCAGCTGTGTTTTCATAGTTGTCTTGACAGTCAGAGATACAGTTATGTGAATGCATCCGCTCACGCTCTGGTTAACTTATTTCACAATTGTTGAAGTGGAGCTTATAGACGCAGCTCACACATCTGAAGTAAAAACAGCGTTCGCATCCGTGCCATCCAGTGACTCAAAAATGGATGAATTTTGATAAAACGTCGTAGGGGTGTAGAGTCGGGTCATGTTAGCCGTCTGTTAAAATTGGCTTCAAGGTCTCCAAGGTCAACTTAATGATTTATTGGTTGCAAATTGACAAGTGTGCTGTGTATTGTCAACATGTAGAAAGATTTAAAATATCATGTCACATGATCTGTCACCTCTCCTTCAAGGTCAAAGGTCATGTGACATGTGACGGATTGAGCTGAGGGCAGGTTTTCAGCCTGACAGTAATATTGGCATGGGATACTTTTTGGCTATAGCCGATTCATTTTATTATGAAGTCACAGTAACAGGTTATAACCATTTAAATACATAACAGTTTGAATAAGTGAACAAAGGTTTGTTTGGGTTTTTGAGAAATGACATGACAATGAAATGAATGCTACACATGAGCTATATCAACAAAAAATATTATACTCGGAATTATGTCAAGTGTTTTAAAATAGGGTTTAAACGTACAAATAAAAGCCTGCAGTTTCCGTTTGTTGTTACGGGACTGCAATCTTTTTTTAGCGGGCTTTTAGGGTTTTAGTCACTCCTAAGAAAAACTTCCAGAAACAGCTTGAAGCAACAAGCTAACGTCAGCTCCTGTTGTTTTTTTTTCAAGAACTGACTGGATTGACTCCAGTAATCTGATCTGTCACCAGAGTGCCATTGGCTTGGACATGTAGCCAGCACATTAAGATACTGCCAGGTTAATGGAAAGGACTGCATCGCTGTAAGGGGCTTATGTGCCCATTGAACCTACACACAAATCCGTTTGCGTCTCATTGCCTCTGAAACCTTCCAAGGCGATACCTACAGCAGCTCGTGCCACCTGCTGTTTACTTCCCTCAGTGAGCTGTGCTGTGTGTAAGCAACATACCCCTATACATATTTAAATTCATCCCTCATACTGACTCTATTACCCCTCCCCACTGCTAGTTCAAGGATCAAACCAGTGCCAATTGTCTGACGCAATCCCGATTAACACCCATAATTGGTGTTGTGAAGTCTTTGTGGTGTCCGTAGCTTCTCCCTCCATCTCCCTCTATCTATACATTTAATTGTAATTATTTTTCAGTGTCTGGGTGACTTCAGGACACTATAGGAACACTGATTAGGAGGCATTTGTGTGTGTAGGTTAAAACATGGACTGATAAGAGGGATTTGGGTCAAGATGGATGATAAGGCTGGGATTAAGTTTGCAATAATATTAAATACATGGTAAATACACGTTATTCCCTCAAGAGTAAGTTATTATAAACCACTGTATGATTAAATTTTTGGATTTGATCATAGCTTAAATTCTCAGTGAGCGTCGGTAAACCTAAAAGACGGTATCAGCTCGGTACTTCAGTACTCTGCACAACAACAGCTACTGTGCAATATAGTTAGGAAAAATGTGTGTATGTGTTGCAATATCCACTCTCCAGTCCAGCTTCTAGCTAGTTGCATCTCTGCCGACCATCTCCTTTGCAGTTCTTTCTGACATATCATCTTTGAACCTGCTGATTACAAATCCTCCGGTCTCTAAGTAGAATAAATCAGAAAGTATGGCAAAGAAAAAGGGTATAGAGATGAGCCCTGATAATTGTTCCCCACTTTCATAGGCTTGACCTCTTATTGTTCGACTGGCGCTTACTGCCTGCAGTTTAAGTCTTCATGGTGCTGACGGTCAGATGAGGCGAGCGGCAGAAGATGAGGCGGATGTTGGAAGGAGGTGGGAGCTGGTCACGTAACACATAAAGCTCACACGAGTCGAGAGTCGGCAGACCATATCTCATTACTTGGCTGGCTCGAAATGAGATGGGGCCCCTTTTTTGCTTGTCCGTCACTGGTGCGATTGATTAGTCAGCAGCCAATCAATGTTAATTAAGGTGTAGAGAATCCTTTAATTGTGGTGTATGAATCATTGTGTCAGACCCTGCCTTGACCTTCACAAGACTTGCGCTGTGAACGGCCTTGGTGGGGCATAAATACCTTTTATATATGGCAATATAATGGCGGTCTGTAAACGAGTATAGATCTGACGAATGGCAATCCTGTATACACTGGAGCTTGGAGCAGGAGGGCCTCACTAAGATCACATATGCAACCCGGTGCTTTGAACAGAAGCCTGTCCCACCTTCGTATCCTCTCATTTTTCTTCACTTTTTAAATAGATGCAGAGCTGGAAAAGATCGATACCTGTCAAAAGATTTAAGAGTTAATGTTGTGAGATAAGTGTTGCTATTATCTGTGGCGAGAGGCTCTCCGTGCATATGGAGTGGGGCTTTGATTGATGACTGCCAAAAACAAAATGGCACATGAGACTACCACAGGCACCGTAATTGTGTTTTTTAATGAAGACCTACATTTTATGTGGGAGCTGATTTCGCACTCGGTCGATTGTGTCTACTCCGTCCTCTCTACCGCCGCTGCCACCATCCATCATGCAGTCATAACAATGTTACCTGTATGTGGTTGAAGCCTGGTCGTAAGTCCGTGACTTCCCGCTCTAATCCTTCACAGAAAGATGAATTTGCCCCTGACTGTGTCACCTGAACCTAAATTAAAGTGAACTTTATGATCGTTATTCATTTACAACATGTCTCTCAAGCGCTGGCTGTATACAAAACGTGGATGTGGCCACTGTGGCATCACACAGTTCTTTGTGAAATCTAGTTTTTAGGCCCTGGTTTTATCAATTTAGTCATTTTTGCTTTCATTGTGGCCAGAAGAGGCCATAGTGAGACAAAATGTTAGTGTTTTCAGCTAATGGTAGCAAGTTTTGTCATCATAGCACATTGGCAGTGTTGGGGAGTAACGGAATACATGTAGCGGCGTTACGTATTTAAAATATAGAATATGAGTAACTTTATTCCGTTACAGTTACTTTTCAAAGAGGTGGTATTCAGAATACAGTTACTTTGTTGAAATTAAGGGTGTAATCCGGTGGTCTTTTCCTGTTTCATATGTTAGGCTATGCCCTCTCTATTTTTGGTAATTCCACGCCGGTGGAAACCCAAACACCTGTTTTATATACGCGCCGAATAGTTTTCTATATGAGATCGCTGCAAAAAGTGCAGCCTTACCTAATGTCCACCCTACTGTTACTCATTTTATAATAAAATTTAAAAATCTAGTTGGTGTTGGTATGGTGAGTATCCTTCAGTAATAGTAATAAATCACACAGCAATAGTACATTCATGTAGTTGTAAAAAGCATGATAATATATTAAGTAATCCAAAGTATTCAGAATACGTTACTCTCATTGAGTAACGTTACAAAATACATTTTGGGGCATGTAATCTGTAATCTGTCGTGGAATACATTTAAAATGTATAAAAGTAACCTTCTCAACACTGCACATTGGTGTGTATGTGCAAATATCCATACTACAGATATAAATACTAAAATTTCGCTTGTGAAATGACCAGTTAGCAAGTCATGTTATTTGTTGGATATTTGAATGAAAAATTCCCCAGACCATCATCACGACAAATACAATTTAGAGGTTCAGTTCATGAGTGAAATCAGCTCATTGCCTAGCAGACAGCCACCAGCTGTTATGCTGCTAGCTGCCTGTGGCAATTTCAAGAGCTTCCAATGTCAGAGCTATCTTCTCTCTCTTCTACTTTATTTAGGGCAGCATATCTAAACAAGTCTCTTGTCAGTATTGTTATCCACTAGTCGTTGCTCATATGTGTTGTATGAGATATTGCATATATTATATTAGCTGTGAAAAACACCATATATGCAGTCTATGAGGTGCATTGGTAGCACAATCCTATCACAGGAAGAAGGTTTCTGGTTCAGATCTAAATGCTGCGTTTCTCTGTGGCGACTTGTATCTTCTCCCGGTGCCTGTGTAGGTTTCCTCTGTGTACTCCAGCTTCCTCCCACAGTCCACAGACATGCATAATAGGCTAATGGGTGATTCTAAAATTAGCTGTGGATGAGAGGTAGATGAAGTCCTTGATGAAGTGTAAAGAATAAAACACCGTAGGAATCTATGTTAAAATGTAGCTTGGGGTCTAAAGTACGGCTAGAAACATATAAATGCAACAAGAAAAATACATCAACTCTGAAATTTGCATTAATTTAGAAACACTAACAGCTAATAGCGATCAAACAGTTGAACTATTTTGTGTCTGGATCGACTTGAATCACTGAAAATTCTGTTTTTAGAAACGGCAGTTGAACCATAGGAGTTATAGATAAATATAAATAAATAGATAAACGTGTGAATTCATTTCCTGATTGATTAGGCCGCCCTTATTTGCTTCCATTCATATTTCCAGTTTGTAACAGACTTTGTGTTAGTGTAGTCTCTAGGTTTAGTGACATCGTGATGGCATATTTTGTCAGTCTTCCTCCAAGAAATCCAAAAATAGAAATAAATTAATTAAAATAAATGTATCCCGTGAATTCGAGGCATAAAAGTAGATGAGTTGAGTTCATAAACAGTGGAGCTTTGTGATTGTCTTAATCTCTTCTACGGAATAAAGTGCTTTAAAGTTCATTAACCACACACTAAATGTCTGACTAATGTGCCCCTGTATATTGTGGCCATTCACAAGGACGTGATTATCTAATGCTTTACTTATTTATTTATTTTAACAGAATGACTTTTCTTTGCTTTCAGATGTAACAACAGGACCCAGTGTGCTGTTGTGGCAGGACCAGACGTATTTCCTGACCCGTGCCCGGGAACCTACAAATACCTGGAAGTCCAGTATGAATGTGTGCCCTACAGTATGTATCCCCCAGCTCTCCTAATGTTCTTGCCCATTCTCGTTTCCTCTTAACAACAGCGCCTCATCAGAAATGGTCGGAAATACTAAATATCTCAGATGTGTCATCCAGTCTAGTGGAAAAGATTAGGACCCTGCAGTGAGTGCGAAGACACGCGATGGTTTCTGTTATCCGAAAACATAACACCCTGCACGAGCGAAATGTGAATGACAGTGTTGCTTACCTGTGAAAAATAATACAGTTTATCAGTTTAGAGGAACGCTACCTGCTGATGCAGCGCTGTTGTTTATCAAGCCGTCTCTTTGTTATAACTGACAGGTGATTAACGCTTCCTGCGTCGGATTAATTCCATGTGGCATCAGTTAGATCAACAGTGTTACAGTTTACACTTATTTTACTCCGAGTGGCGTTTTTGGAGCCGTGCAATTTATAAAAATAGAAGCGAGCAAATCATTTTTGAACTTTTAATCCGTTTTTCGTCAACCTGTTAGTGCTGCTGCTGTTCCAAAACGGAGTAAGGCATATATCCCATAATGCATTCAGGCTTTCTCTTGTTTTTTTAAATGGCGCTTGTCACAACCTTCCCATCAGCTCCCTCGGTTCAAAGCGCATTAATATCTTTGAGGAATCACGTCTGATGATGTCAAGTCTCTATTTCCATCACAGCAAGAAAGGCCGTTTTGACTTTCATCAAAAAGAAAAGTACTCATTCTCAGTTCAGTTCAGCTCAGTGGACGCCGGCTAATGTTCAGACTAGTGAGGCATCTCTGAAGGGGGTAAATAAAAATGATTTAATTAGTGCAGCAGGTGAAAAACACTGTGAGGCTGCAACATAACCTAAGTGAAAGCATTTGGACAGGGAATGGAAGGATCAGCATGGGGTGACAGGATGAGCGTGCTGAGAGGATATCCAGGCGAGGCTAAAGGAAGTGGCATGGACATTGCCATATGACCTTTGCTATTGTCTTTTTAATGAACTTTGAAGTGGAACACCAAAGTCACAATAATTACGCCTGCCAAAAATCCTGATGCTCAAAAAAGGGGGAAATATTTAGTCATGGGCATTTAGCTGTGTAGTCTACAGCGGCTGCATTGAAGTGAGTTGTAGTAATTCAAATCAAAGCCATCTTTTAACATTTGATGTCCTTACATGGTTCCCTCAGTAGTGGGCCTGACAGTAGCTTTCATGTTGTGAAGTGAAAGCCCTTTTTGTCTGTGATCCAGAGCTAGCAAATGGTCTTTTTATTCCTCGCTCTAATATGCACATTATGCTATTTCAGTCACCCAGTGCCACTGTCTTTCCTAGGTGTCATTGTCTTGGGATACTAACAAGGATAAAGCCACTGCAATGAACAGTAGCCCACTTTCAGTCACTTTTTGCGTCTGTCACACTTGCATCTACTCAAGTTTTCAACCTTTTGAACTCAAGCATTTCACTAGTTTACCATTTTGACCATGAGGCAGCTAGATTCTTGAAATATGCGCAAGATCATGAGAAAGGCTTTAGCGGAGGCGGGCACTTTTACCAAGGGGCTACATCAGAAACTGGGACTGTTGTGGAGCGCCGCACGGAAAGCAGTTTAAAACTCAAGTTTTGAAAAGTGCTGTACAAATCAACTTTATTATAATTATTATAATTATTATAATTATTATTAGTGTGATTACCAATGAGATAATAAAGAGGGAAAATTATTTTCAGCAGAACTGAGTTTAACTTACTGGTGTGGCCCTCCACAACAGTCCTAGTTTCTCACCCCTGCTTTAAGGTATGGGCTTTAGGCCGGTTGGGTTATTACCGGTCAGTAAGATCTCAGCTATGTGTGTTTAATTTTGGGTAATTCTTAAAACACACAGTAACTGCCAGCAAATGAGTTTAATTCTAACATTTTAAACACAAAGACAGCACAAGTCCTCGAGGGCTACAATAACTACATTGCTTAATAGCTACACTGGTTTATTGCAAGAAACTTGTGGCTTTTTTCCCTCTTTAGTTAATAATCAAGCTGCAAGTTGGAGACAGTGACCGATGATTCACTGGCCTGATTCTTTGAAATTAGCCTGCAGCACACAGTCCTAGATGGGTCATCCAGTGTCACTTGCAAGCAAGACTTACCACATGTGTGAGAAACCATTTTATACTTGCTGACACGTAAAAAGATATTATTTTATCATTTGGTCCTCAAGATTTTACCTGTAGAAATTGCACGCGCACACTTTTGCACAGTGTAAGAACATTTCTGTGCACATATCAGTGAACGAGGCTCGTTCTTCGAAACCTTAACTGGGAGTGTGGACATTATTTTTTCTTATCATAGAGAAACAATACGATTGGTTGATTCTTGCTCTCTTTGACTACTCAGATGGACATGGCAATTTTTTTCCTCATGATTATGTCGGTTGCTTAATTTACATTGTTGCTACTCCAGTCCACCGAGTGTAGGTTGGAGTCATTTTTTCTTTCTTTTCTCCAACACATAGGCATTGTTTTCAGCCGGACCTTATCCCAGTGGTGCAATGTAATTGACCTCCAGTTCGATGGGAAATGAAATTATTTTTGCCCTTTCCACATGCTTGAACAGCATGGAAAAAACATAAGGACTTCCACCCCCATCCCATCCTCTTACAATTACTTCCAATTTATTCTATTGGTGTCAGATTTCTAAAATAATAGACACACGCATTATGGCTCCATATATTATGCTGTAAAAAAGCTGCTGCCTAATGCAGAAGCTGGGTTTTCCTTTTCCTGTCCTGTCTGGATCCCTGTAACACATGCAATTGTCCCCTAAGGTGATGGAAAATTCTGCTATACCCTCAGGACCCAGTGGCATTTTCATTCAGCGATCTCTTTAATGTTTTCTCTTACTCGATAAGTCTGACTTAAACAGTAAAAAAAAAAGAAACCATAACTCATAACTTGACTGCATTCCCATAATGCTGTAAAACAGTTTCTGCAGCTTAATTGCTTTAATACCCAGGACTCCTATTAGGGTTCCACGAGGGAGAAATACCGAGGCACCTTGTGTGGTTTAACTATGGATCGCTCCCAGATATGGCCATAAGATCGAGAAATCTGCTGGCAATGCATAAACATGGCAGCAGTCATGTAGCAGTTTATTTGTATATTGAGTGTGGAAGCAAAGTGTAATCACAAGCGGTCACTGGAGACGCATTTGAAACGGATTCGGTGGCGGGATATGAATGAATTCATCTGTGACGGCCCGGTAAACTCTCTTCACACCTCCCAGATGAATCAATCAGAACCTTTTGGTTGGACTGAATCACACTGAAAGTGCTTCCTTCACATTTGTGTGTCATGCTTACGTGTTTGATTATGGCTACGTGTCTTGCGAAAATAAGTCTCAATGGGGAGGATGAAGGAAAAAAAGCACAATAGATTTAAGTGGTTTGTGTGTTAATTGGAAATGAGGTATGGATAGAGACATGGCAGCTCAATTGTGGATCGGCTTTTAACACAAGTCTCCTTACAGAGTTCCTGAGACTGACTGAAGGATTTGAGTGTTTAATAAGAGGAGCAGCCACCCATGACTCCAACTCTTCTTTCTCTGTATTCCACTGACAAGCTCTCCCTCTCAATCCTAATACTCTTTTTTTTTTTTTATTACCCTCACTTTCTCTAACATTTCGTCCTTTAAGTCCTCTCGCTGGCCTCCCCCACCCCTCCCACTCTATCTCCCTTTATTTGCCACCTCTGTTCCCTCACTCCAGAGTCTCATCTGCCCCTTCTCTTCTCCCCGACCACCTTCGCTGACAGCTTTTATCTGTTTTCTGCTTGAGGAGCTTCTTTTTCTTTCTTTTTCCTTTTAGGACAAATTACCGCCGTCCTCTCCACATCTCTATAAGCCGGCGAGATTGTGCGATTGGATCCGCTGTCAATAACAGCGGAGGGCTGTGCCAAATCGATGGACACATGTTGCAGATACAATATTGATTTTATTAATTTGCGATTCGACCCGCTCCATCAGTTGTAATGGAAGAAATGTTAGAACAATTACCGTTGTGGGTGCCAGTGTTTGCCCGTGCTGGCGCTGTGGCACGCGCGGCGCGATCCGTCATGTTTTCATTTGAGCTGCTGTCTGGATAATTATTCGATATGAGCTGCGAGTTTCTTGGATGAGGAAATGCCACCGCGTTGAACGATGAGGGTGGGAAAGCAGCGCCGACATAAAGGTGAAACAATAAAAAAGGAATTTATACATTTTGCATTTGAAACATTAAGCTCTTACTAAATAAAGCTTAATAGCATGCGCTTGTATTTACCTCAGGAATTCATCAGAGTCCTGTGAACATGACTAATTTTTAATCTGCCCGACGACTCTTTCTTTTTGCAACACAGCAGATTGCACACGCCCCTCTGTGCAGTTCACATATTAGCAAGGCCGACTTCGGGCACAAGTGACACGCTGACCCTTTATGATGACTCATAAACACGAGCGCGCTCTTATGGCTGACATCTGTCTCCGCCCCGCCCTCTCACCTTGACTTTCCGCAGCCAAGCGGAGAGATGCAAGCGTATTCTCATCGTGCCTTATTACAGCCTTCTTTCCTCGCTCGCTCCGTCTTTCTCTCGGTGTAACTTCCACTTTAACAACTCCTCCCGAAGGCCGAGCTCATGAGCGGTCAACACAACTGCGTCTCCCTCCTACACACCCACCGCTCCTTCCTCGGCTGTAATGAAGCGCTTAGATCTCCTCAGCAGGCCCGTCATCTTCCCCGTCATCTTCCCCATCTTGTCGCACAAGATTCCGACCTGTGTTGCAGTGCTCTGCCGTTGACAGCCTGCGGTTGTCTTCCTTGTCCTCCTCCCCTCACGTCGACCGCAATCTTTTGGTAATTACATGTATCTTTCTGTGCACTTTCGATGATCCAGGCAGGCGATCATGTCCCTTACCCTCCCACCACCTGCCCCCCACACACACAAACACAAAAAAGATGAAGTAGTGGATATGAGGGAAATGTATTTGCGCTGTTCACTTTGC